CACAAGCACTGCACACCTTCCTGCACTGTAAGAACAGTGGCTAGAAACCATCTATATACCAAGAAAGGGCCTCTCCTTGGACACCAAACTCCAAAAATCTTAAATCCCTGCTGTTTACAAGCTATACAATCTATAGTACTTTGTTCTAGGAGCCTACATAGAGTGAGAAATTCATAGAAGATACAGACAATTCAATGGAGATAAGACAGGATTTTCAACAAATGGGTTGGAAACAATTGGATGTTCAAAAGCAAATCATTTAAAAATCAATTTCAACTTGGATAGATACCTGAATGCAAAATATAAAATTATAAAATTCTAGAACACATAGGAGGAAAACTATGTGACCCTAAGTTTGGTGAAGAACATTTCAATATTACACTAAATACATGATCATATAAAAACAAATTGGTAAGTTGAACTTTATCAAAGGTAAAGACTTTTGCTGTAGGAAACACACCATTAGAAGATTCTTTAAAACAAGCTGTTACTACTTTTCCTGGATAGATGCACAGGAATGCCTATTTGCCCCATAAAAGGAAGATAACAGACCAAAAACCAATTTCCATCTTGGTGAGCCAATTAGTTTACTGTGATTACATATAAGAGTATGGGTTGCCTGGGCAGCTGCATTCAAGAGTGCAGCCCACCAAGAATGATGACTCCCAGAACCTGAGTTCCCTGCATAGCTCGCCAACAGCTCCACCACGGAAGAGTGTCCTCTCCCCCAGCAACTGTTCCTTCTAAAAGAACCTCAGGGAAGAGCTGCCTGGATGTTTTAAGTTTCTTGTGAGTTTAATGAACTTCCTGAGTCTTCTTTCTCCTGCAGGAGGAACTGTTTCAATTCAGAGGAAACAACTACACAACAGAAACCAAAGGTGGAAGGAGTGGAAACCTGCAGCAGAGGTTGTGGAGACAGGATAGATCTTCTTCTCTTACTCTTCCTTACTGCTTGGGAGATGGTGAGAAGGTATGTGTGTACTTAGCTTGGTAGATCCCCTCTCTCCAAGTCTGACAACTGATTCATGCTTATTCTCCTGGGGCATTTCAGCTGTGCCCTACAAAAGGAATCTCTCTCTCTCTCTCTCTCTCTCTCTCTCTCTCTCTCTCTCTCTCTCCTTCCCTCCCTCCTCCTTCCCTTTCTCCCTCCTTCTGCATTCTCTCAGTTTGATAGAAGAAACCCATACTTCTGCTCAGAAATATTATGGGAGTTCTGTACATCTCAATGCTTTCTTCCAGGTCTCTAGCTTCCTAGGTCAGAGTCAGAAGACACCAATCTACCAAGGCAAAGTTTAGGTACCAGTCTTCCAGCTTCCTCAAACTAAGGGAATTTATTACAAAGATCACCAAGACGGCTCCTTCCCAAAATCTTCTTTGACACTGTAAAGTAATGACCAATTCAAAAAAAAAAAAAGAACAGTTTACTAACCTGTTCATATCTCCCTCTTATCTTTTTTTATTTCTTTGATCTAATTGAGTTGTTCATGGGCCAAGAAATAGTTCTCACTCGTTTCTTTTGTGAAGCATTTATGAAACAGAGAGACTATCTCTCACTAACTCCGATTTACTAATATCTCACTTTGTGGACTCTCAGTCAAAAATGAATTGTGGTGGCACTGTGCATCCTCCAGAAAGACCATGATGAAGACAAAAGTGCCCAAGACTGGACAGGATGATGTAGTAATTAAACTTTATACTCTCCTCAAGAGTATCAACTAGTAAAATCTTTGAAAAACTGTCAGATCCCACCAAAGCTGAAAATGAATGCCCTGTGAGCCAAAATTCCATCCCTAGAATTTATATCCTCAAGAAACGTCACCTATCTTCTTCACCAAAGGATGCTGGTGGCAGCACTACTTATACTGGGCAAAATGAGGCTGGGTACAAATCCACAGTAAAATAGATAAATAAACTGTGATGCTTTTCTGCAGTGGTATATGCTACAGAAATGAGAATAAACAAACTGAATTATTCACAATAACGTGGATGAAACTCATGGTATAATGTTGAGTTTTAAGCCAGACACACAATTCATTCTGAATAATTCCACTTACATAAACATTTAAAACAACTAAGACAAGCCTAATTAGTCCAGGCTGCACTCATATGGGCACTCAACACCTATTTCTTCAACTACTGACATTCATGAAAGTTCAGATTAGTAAAAAATCGGCAACATCATACTGTTATAAAAAGAAGACATAAATACCAAGTGTTGGCTAGAGACAGTCTTGCCTTTTATATAACATAGATGATAACATTAATCTTCTTAAACTGGTGTCATTTTGCTTTCATTACTGATGAAAGACTATCTTTAAGAAATATGTTTCATATTATGAACTATAGTTCAAACTATACAATTGTCATGATGAGCCACAAGAGGGCAGTAGTTTCAAGGGCCAGTTATAAAGATGGAATGGAAAAATGTATTAAACAGAAGAGCAGCATAAAACACTGTGAAATTCTCAATAAAGTTTTTTTAAGTTAAAAAAACATTGATTGTGTAAGCTAGAACTTTAAAACTGCAATAAGGTTTTAATTTAAAATTTTAAGATTGGAGAAAGTGGGCAGAAATCACTTGCGTAAGAAATTTATTTTCTATTTGTTTTTCCATACAATTCATGTGTAGACATGTCTAAGACATTTCACATGTAGACATTTATACTTTAATATAAGAATCCTATTAAGATTAGTCACCACAAGATAGTAACTTACTATATACTTCCACAGATGTTATATTTTGTGTTTTTTTTACTTTATTAAGCCCTTTGAATTTTATGTAACTAAAATTACTGAGTCCTGTCCTTTTCAGGATGGAAAAAAATGAGATCTACAAGACTTAATTAACTTGTATAACTTAACACATTAATAAGCAGAAAGCAGAATTTGATGCTTTCTGTTATTTTCCACAGTTGTCTTGTTAACATAACAAAATAACGGGCATCTTTGGCTAATTCATATATGATTTTAAATATTGTTCTCATAGTTAATCTGTAATAGAATGTTAGTTTATGCTTATCTACAAGACTTTTAAAAAAACACCTGGCTAACAATGATCTTTACTGAACTACTGATTTAAGAATTAAATATTATTTGGGCCACCGAGATGGTTCATTGGGTAAAAGCACTTGCTACCAAACCTGATGACCTGAGCTTGATCCCTGGGACCCACAAGGTTGAAGGAGAGAGCTGACTCCTACAACTTGTCCTGTGACCTTTCCATACATGCTGACATGCACACACATGTGTGCACACACATGTACACACAATACATAAATGTAAAAAAGAATTGGCCATTGTTATCTAACAAGAGAAATTTAAACAGAAATAAAGTTTAAAATAAAACAAACTGAAAACTATTGGAAACTGATTTATGCTGAATGAGGGAGAGTATGCCTCACATACAATCTCCGGATAGGCTGACTAGATTCCAGTGGATGAATGTATACTGAAGGATAACTGGGTACAAATGCTTGACTGGATGGGACTTAACGTGTATGAAGGAATACATGAGGTCCAGTGGGGGACTAGGAGGCATGGATGGGCAAGGGGATCTAAATTTGATTAAGAATTGTTGTATAAAATTACAAAAGCTCAATGAAAATTTTTTTAATAAATGAAACAAACAGTATTCCTGAAGGTCAATTATTAAAGGGTGAAACATAAACAAAGGCAAGAAGTCAGGAGCACTGCTGCATGGAGTTGTAAACATTTCTAAAATTGTCTAGTGTTGTGTGTAACTGAAAATATATAATTAGCATAAAAATCAAGTGTTTAATTGTAGCATTTCTATGAAATAATGTATCATCTCACAGTAACTTTTAAGGAAACCCCAAATCTCACACCTAAAACAGTGTGTCCAGTTAGACAAGAGATCAACTAAATAGAACAAATGACAGTCACAAAAAAAAATAGTATGTATAGAGACAAAATTATATTTAAACATTGCTTAACGTTTAAAAATAATCATAGAGAAGGCAAAGAACTGTTTTCTTGAATAAAAAACTGTTCAACTAAAACAAAATTGAAACTATTTTTAACTTTCAGATTTCTGTTTTTCACAAGAACCCAACTTAACTCTCAGACATGCAGTGCAAGAAAGAATGCCTGTATTTCAGTCACTTTGACTTCAACAAACCCTACTGTCAAAGCAGAAGCTAGAGACAGTGTGTTCCTCCCTCCCTGGGTTTCTGTCCTTCCTTCCTTAATTCATTTTAGCAAAATTTGTTCGATATGAGATAAGCACAAAAAAACAGACATTACCCCCTAATAATAAAATGTTCCTTCATGAAGTTTGCAAGCCACTGATGATAATAAATGCTAAACAAAAGTTGTATTATAGGTGTTGATGACGGGGGTAAATGTGGAGTACAATGAGGGCCATGAGAGGACAACAGGACAGCCAAGTCACATTGTTGGTCCCAGAGTCCTTAGAGTAGGTGACAGTGACCCTGACACTGAAAGAAGAGGTAGAGAAAGGGCTCCAAGAAGGGAAATGGTATATCCATGCCCTTAGTAAAGAGTTCTTGACTTGCTCAAGCAACTGAAGCTGTTTACTTATCCATGACTAACACAATCCTATAGAGAAATGGGGTAAATAATTATTATTATTATTATTATTATTGGTATGTTAAAATGGCAGGATGTTGGACTGAGGGATTAAACAGCTCAACTCTGAATTCACAAGCTTCCCAGTGCATCAGAAAGCCAGATTGTATGGCATTTAACTCATATAGATGAAGATAAACTCCATTAACAAAGTAAAACTCCATAATTCTCACAGCCACATGCACATTCATTGTTGATATCAAAGCATTTCCAATTTCATTTCAGCCTTAATTCCCATCCAAATATAACACATTGTTTACTTTCCTAAATTCTCTAACCCAGGTTCCCAAGATAGCTCTCCAAAATAACAGAATCTTTGTCTTCATTGATAGTGTTTTTCCTATTAATAAACATTTTAATTACTATTTTGTGCAAAGCTGTGTCACACTTACGTTCCAGTGCATTGTAAAGAAGCTCAAAGTCTTCGTTTGTCTTGGGATTGTGTCTCCGGTAGTAGTCCATCTGCAGCCACTCTTCTTTCTCTCTGATCTTCCTAAGCTTGTCCTCTGCTTCCCACTCCAACCTCAATTTTTTTTGTTTTTTTAAGCTCTCCACATAGCATTTAGCACGCCATCGCCTATAGCAAGTTTGTATTACTAGCACCTATATTTAAATTGGAAAGTAATAAAGTGTCATTAACTTGTTGATAAGAGCACGAAGAAAGGCAACAATGATTACTTCAATTCCAATCAACAACAAAAAAAGTACTGACCATCTAATTTTATTTCTGTCTGAGATATTCTTACACACAATAACATAAAAACTATGAATAACACACCACGACTAGCAAGTAAAGTGGTTTCGGAACAATTTTGCTAAAGTGAAACAAACAGAAAATAAGACTAGACTAGACATAGTATCTTTAGAACAAAAGGAAATGATGTCAATATAAAACCGTCAATGTGAAAAGAAAGACTGGCAAAAATTACAATTTGAATTTTTATTTCATTTTTAGACAGGGTCTCTCTGTAGAACCAGCTGGCCTGGATCTCATAGAGATCCATCTCTCTCTGCTTTCTGAGTGCTGTGATTAAAAGTATATGTCACACCTGGCCCTAAAATTTAAAAATAATAAATAATAAATAAATAAATAAATAAATATAAATAAATAAATAATATGTGCATTAGCATGGATGCCTTTAAACTTGCTAAAAATTATTAATGACACCAAAGCATAGCTGTTTCAGTATTGCAGAAAATTTCTCCCTCTTACATAATAAACCCGGGGCTGGCATGGTAGGAAAAGATCTGTTGTAGTTAACAAATTAGTTAACAAATTGCTTCCTACTTATATGTCCCACTTGGTTGGTCCACTTCTCATCTTCCAGCCAAAAAACAGGGGAAAAAATAAAGAACACTTTCAGAGCAGTGCCTCAGTATACCTCACATCAGCTCCCTCAAACTCACCACTTAGTAATATGGCTTCACTGATTTACAAGAGAGGTTAAGGGGGCTGGAGAGATGGCTCAGCAGTTAAGAGCATTGACTATTCTTGCAAAAGACCCAGGTTCAAATCCCAACACCCACATAGCAGCTAACAGAATCTCAGCACCCACATGGCAGTTAAAAGGGGTCCATTACTCCAGTTCCAGGGGATCAGACTCCCCCTTCTGTCCTCCACAGGCACTGTACAACAGGGGTGCACTTCCACCACAAGCAGGCATAACACTCACATACAGAAAATAAATAAATAAATTTTTTTAATTAAAAAAAAGAGGAAACAAACAAGAATCAGATTGTTTCTTTTAGTCAAATGCAACTTCAAAATTATAAAGAAAAAATTCTGAGAACAATTTTGAATCTAACCTTCTAAACCCATTCTAAAATTCTCCTATGAAGTTCATTCAGCAAGAATTCAGTTTTCTTCCCACGCATAATCTTGACAAGAATTACTAGACTATATTTCATCAAAAATAATAAATTAAGGGGGTACATTAAAACAGTGAGCAAGAACTTTAAAAATCTTAAGATAAATATGTTTTATTTGACAAAAACATACATACCAATACTAATAGATAAAAGTAGTGATCTAAATTTGTAATTATATGGAAAATTACATATAAGTAAAATTCAAATCAAACCCTCACTGTCTAGGAGGAATGAGGGAAGAAGAAAAGGTAATGAGAAGATTATTAAAGCTTATTAATGAGAAGCTTATTAATGCTTATTTGTTCATATAAAAGATACACCATCAGACTATATATGTTTGTTATCAAAAACAATTAGATGTGGTAAAAATTTGAGTGACTATGTAAAAGAACAAAAAGGAAAACATAATAAAATTCATTTTTAAAGGCAAGTTTAGTAACAGAATAAATACAAAACTGATTAACAAATGGAAACAGGATAAGATGGCAGGAATAAGACAAAGTATTCTTACCTAAAATAATAGATATTAAATTAAATACTAAGTATTGAACAATAGAAGACCATATAAAAAATAAAACAGAGACCCAAGTAGAAAGGGACTGATGGGAACAAAAGAACTTAAGTGTAACTTTACTTCCTACACTGGCTTTGAAACTACAGACTTTTACCTCTGACAGAGCCATCAACTCATTTTGTGAGAGACCTTGGGACAACCTCTGTGTTTCTTGATGCGGTCTCCCCACCCCCAGCAGGCATTTAGATTTTTGCTCTCTTTGCTCTATTAATTCAAGTTAATACTTCTCCATTTACAGCTTCAAAAACATCAACTGACATTTTCTCTTTTCTCATTCTCTGTCCATATTCTTTTATAATTTTGTATCTATTGGATACAATTTTTTGGAGTTTTTGGAGTAAGGGGTACAGACGGTTCTATTTTTCTACCAAGTATTTCATCTCCTCTACTAAATCTTTCCTAGAAAATCTCGGCTTTCTTAAAGAACAACATACTACTTTTAAAAATGCATCTCTCACTCTCTTCTGTGGGGATAATAGCATGATGCAGTTCAGGTTAATGAAAGTCACTGGGGGAGGCTTTTTGGGGGCCCTGGAGGGTGACACTCAATGAATATGTTCCCTTGACTTTTCCCTTCTTTCTGCACAGAAGGCCAACAAGATGATGAATGTTAGCCATTTCAACTCATCCAGTAGCAAGCTCATGCTGAGATTAGTGGAGTGAAAAGGTATAAAGAGTTTGAGTTCCTAATGCTATCAGAAAGCCAACATCCAAACCCAGGACACTCAAAGTAAAAATTATTTTGGAAACAGTCATCAGCCTGGACCAATAGTGCTAATGAAGTTAGCCACAAAGGTAAGAAGAAACCATATTATCAGCTGTAAAATGGCACAGAAATCCATTTCTTTGAGTGACTACTATTTTCTTATTCAATGAGAAACTTTTTCTAAAATCAGAAACTTTGCTGTTTGAAATTAGATCAGTAAGAATGAGACATCTCAGTCTTGCCTAAAGGATCTAAGTCACTTTGACAAAGAAACACAGCCTTGATTTAAAACCAAGATGCTGACCTTCACAGAACTGCAGAGAAGAAACAACATTCACAACTCTTTTAACTTTGTTCCTGAGGAAACTGGACCCTTATCCACTGGACCGTTCAGCTCTTGAGGCTGACCCATTTATAGACAATCTTGTTGTGAACTGAGACCAATAAGAGACTATGCTGAAATTTCACCTAAATTTTACTTTTCCCAAAGTTCTGTAATAACTCAATCTTTTTCCCTAGTTTAGTATAAAAAAATTAAAAACTCATCAAGCTGGCATAACTAGCACTAATACAGTCAGGTTGCAAGCTAGCCCTAGGCTGACCCTGATACACAGTGTGTTTCAAGGCAAGGAGTTAAGAGACGACTTTTTTGTATTCCATGTTCATATTTCAAGATATTGGGCTGATTAGGCTAGAAAAGCAGCCTATCTCCAAATTTCCTATCATTTGAAAAAGAAAAACATTTCATTTAAATCACTATCTGGTCATTTTTACTCACACCAAAATGATGCTAGGTAGTAGGTATTATTGTATGCTGTCTTTAAGAGAGCAATTAGGTTGAAAATAAAATGGTGTAAAAAGGATAAATCATACAAATTATTGAAAAAGTTGGAGTGGTTACACAAGTATCAGAGAAAATTAACTGCATTATCCTATCTGGCTTCAATTAGTCTGAAAAGTTCCAGATTAAAATGTACTGGTACAGGGGCTAGAGAGATGATTCAGTGGTTCAGAACACTGACTGCTCTTGCAGAGGACCCAGGTTTGAATCCCAGCACCCACATGGCGGTTAACAGCTGTCTGTAACTCCAGTTTCAGGGGATCCGAAGCCCTCTTCTGACCTCCACGGACATTGCATGACACAGGTGCACTTACACACGTGCAGGCAATACACTCATATACATAAAAATTTTTTTTTAAAAAAAAGAATGTACTGGTACAGGGTTAAGACTAAGGAACAGCAGTCTTCAGAAGTCTAATAGTGGCCTAAGTGCATACATAAAATACCTGATATTCCTATGTAAACAGGGAAAGACTAGCAGTATTTAAAATTCTTTTGATAAGGAGGGATATTCAAGATAATAATGTCCTTTAGTAAGTAACAATAAAATGTGACCCACATTCCTGTAGGTTCTTCCTCATGCTGCTGTGGCTTAGGAAACACAAACAGAATGATTTGTGTATCTAATTTTTACTCTTCATCCCCATTGAAAGCTGTCTTACCGCCTGTAGCCTTTGAGCATGATATTCTGCTGCAGAAAAATACCTTCCTGGTTTTACCAGTTTATCAGTCATATTTGATATATATACACCGATTTTATTCATTTGAGTGGATGTTGTATTTGTAGTTTGTTGGAGCTTCTTTTTCTGAAAAACTGTCTAAAATAAAAACAAAAAATTTAAATGAGTATGTACTACATAAATATCTATAGTAAAGAGAATCTTACATATACCTGTAAGTGAAAGAAATATTTTCTATACATATATGTTAATCTTTCTTTTACTATCTTAATTACCACACAATTAGACAAATTTGTCAGAGCCATATAGTACAAAAGTACTGATTCTATAGCTTCATATCCCTAAATAGTAAAATAAAAATATTACCTGGGTGTCCCTACAAAATAGACTGGGTTTTTCAGCAATACTTTTAGGTACAGTTTGTGTTCCAGCATTGTGATATTCTTTTCCTGTTACTTTATGTCTAAATCCACCAAGAAATGGCTTGTGGAAGTCAGATTTTACAATCTCAACAGCTACCTCCTCGTAGCGATCAGTGCCTGCATAGATGACAACCAAGATGCAATGAAAGCTCAATCACAAGGCACTCTAAACACTGGATCTAAGAAGACTTCCAAGAACAAGGACTCACTGGTCTGTACGGTGACAGTTATGATCTGGGAGCCTCCACTCAATCCCTCTATTCTTTTGACTGGATATTGATCTTGATGTGTGGAAAAGATATCCACTTGTACTATTTCTTGTGGTTTAACACCATGTTGTATTAGAGTCTCATTACTACCAATAATTACTCCTAAGAAGAGGAAAATGTTAGTACATTTTATGATAAAGAAATGGCTATTTCTTTCTGTTGTTCATTTTAAATTGAGAAAATTGTGTGTATTTAAGTTGTGCAACATGTTTCAATACATGTCCACATTGTGGACTGGCTGAATCAAGCTAATTAACAAATCCACTACTTCACATGCTTACTTTCTGTGGTGAGAACACCTAAATTTTACTGTCTTAGTAATTTTCAAGTATACAATATATGTTATTAACTGCTGTCAGCATTATATTAAGTGCTCCTATCTTAAGAGATTATCAAAGGTGTTTGTAGGTACATGTGCCATTAAATTACTAAGCATGTTATTTATGTAATGTTGGTGAGGACAAGTCAATAGAACAGTGATTATAACTCAAAATAGCTTATTATATATTTTATAGACAACAAGAAGACAAGGGCTTAAAACCTGTGAAAACAAAGTAATGATAAAAAGAGGGAAAATGTAATTATCTTGATTTGATCAGATGATTACATATACATGTTGAAGCATCATGCTTCATAAATAGGTACGATATTACAAGTTAATAAAACTTAAGTCAATCATGATGGCTCATGCTTATAATCCTAGTACTGGAGAAGCTGAGGCAGACAAAGCACCTTGAGTTCAAGGTCAGCATAAGCTTTGTAGTGAATTCCAGGCTAGCTTGGGTTACATGAGGCGTTTCTCTCTCTCTCTCTCTCTCTCTCTCTCTCTCTCTCTCTCTCTCTCTAGGCTAGCTTGGGTTACATGAGGGATTTCTCTCTCTCTCTCTCTCTCTGTTTTCTCTTTCTCTCTCTCCCTTCTCTCCCCATATATATGTATATGTAAAAGATGATAGAAATACTATGTGATTCATTCTATATTGTGTACATGTATCAAATTGTCACCCTGTGGCCTTTAAACAGCTAAAAATAAAGTAATAATAAGTAAAACTCCATAATGAGAAGAGTTATGGTGGTGTTGTTCTAAAGCAATTTAACATTATAAAATTAATATTCTCAATTCTTCAGAAATACAAATACCTAATAACCATGAAATTCTATAGACACTTGAAAATGAAAACACTCTATAGTATAGGCAGTATCATATACCAGCATTTACTCTGTGAAAAAGACAACAGAGGACATATCCAAATCAGTAAAGCATGATCTGCAACTCCAGAAGCTGGGATGGCAAGCAAGCAGATTACCCTAGCCACTCCAGGCTCCAGCATAGAAAAGCACAGACTCAGAATTGTAAAGAATCATTCTGTACAGCCAGAGAGTCAAAAACAATTGCTGTCCGGTAGAGATACATCTCATCATACATCATTTAAAGTTTCTGTTATATGCTTCAACTTCTCATTTCCTCCTGCTGTACCACTGCTATCTTCACTAAATTATCTAACATTATTTTTCTCTATTCTAATGCATTTAAAAATAAAATAAGGGCATTATTTAGCTCTCCTCTCTCTCCTAGCTAGTGTAAAAAAAAGTCATATTATTCCAACAACGTAATGGCAAATTACACATACAATATCTCTACTTGAGCACATGTGTATAGCTGAAGGCTATGTAACAAGAAACAGTGCCAGATAGGAGAAACCTTCCTTTGAGTTGTTGGCCCAGGTTAGGTCAAGAGACTCCCAAAATGACAAAGGTTATTGCCACAGTCCTTGATTGCCTCCAGAACTTGAAGGCAAGACCTTATTGCTGAAGACAGGACATACTTTGGACACAGGATTTGGAGTGATGGAGCTGGAACAGACTTGGAAGCCACCTGTGCTGAAGGTTAGCTCTCATAGCTTTGGAGTACACTATGCAAGCTGTAAGGGAGAACATCACTCAATGGTCCAACCCCAGCTTCAAGGCCTAATAGCCACATCAGTGATTGGCACAGCAAACAACATTGATGCAGTAGTGGCACATTTATCTTGGGGGTTATCAACAGGTACCTAATTGAACTTAAAGCCCACTTATTGGGAGGGAACTCAAGTGTGGTACTGTAAACATAGCCAAATACACATGACCAGAGAGGTCTTAGATTTTAGAGAAAATCCCAAGACTGTCACATCCCTAGACAAATGTAATTTCCTACTATGTACAAAATATGCATACTTATACTTACAGACAAGTATCCCAGTCACCACTCATCAAAAAAAGCTTCTTTTGCAACAGACAGAGACCATTGTAGAGTTCCACAACTGGTCACACACAGATATCATCTATGAATTGCCCAAGCCTAAGTGGCATATCTACAATGCAACCTCTATACCTAAGGCTCACAGAACATAAAAGAGGACACTAATGCATCACTCAATTCTCATCAATGAAGCTCCCTCATCCAACAGAGTGTCAGGAACATAAAAGGTCACAAATGGACAAAGCACAGAGAATAAGACTCTCCAAAGTGTGGGTCCTTGGACAGGACTCCTATATTAAACTCTACCCACCCAGGGCTCAGGTATCATGGAAGAAGAGGAAACAGAAAGATTATAAGATCCAGGGAGAAGCACAACCTTATGGAAATAGAGACCTACAGTCTCCTGGGACCTTGCTCATATGAACCTACAGCAATGATGTAATCATGCACAAGACCTATACAAACTCAAGCAGATAAAACCCCAGCACAGAACTGTGGAAATGGGCAAGAAGTCCTAATCTTAGTCAAAGAATTATTAGCAACTGATCACTGCTGGGTAAGGAAGAGCTGATCTTTTTAAATGGAGTGATTCTAGATAAGCTGACTAGACCCCAGTGGATGAGCATACACTGAGGGACATTTGGGGACAATAACTTGACATCATAGGCTTTAACACAAATGACAAGGTGTCCAGTGGGATGGGGGCTATGAGAGGGTGCCAATGGGGAAGGGGGTATAAAGATGATTAAGATTGATTAAGATGTTCTACAAAAATTCAATTAAAAATTTACTATATATATATATATAATGTCTGTCCTTCCAGGAAGAAATAATAAACATTTAGAAAAATGGTCTAAAAAAAAAACTTGCCTACAATGCATGAGATCCTTGCTTCAGCCCCCAGTACTGAAGAAAAGAGAGGGTGTTCTTAAAATAAAGGTCTGACCCAAAACCTGGCATAGAATAAGGGAAATGGGCAGCAGGCTCCAACTTTGGCTTCAGAACTATTGGTAACAGATTACTGCTGGGTGAAGGAGAGTAGCTCTTCTTTAAAGGAGAGACTCTAGATAGGCTGGTTAGCTCCAGTGGATGGACGTGCACTGATGGACATCTGGGTACAAATGCTTAAACAGAAAGAACTTAACATATATGACAGAATGTATGAAATTGGGGGGGGGTACAGAGGTGCAGATGGGAGAGGGGGTCTATATTTGGCTAAGATCTATTATATGAAAGGCACAAAAACTCAATAAAAATATTGTTTTAAAAATACAATAAGGGACTGGAGAGATGACTCATTTGGTAAAGTCTTTGCTACACAAACATGAGGACTTTAGTTGAGATCCCCAGAACCCAAGTACAAGGCCAAACAAGGCAGTGTAAACCTGTAAACCCAGCAGTGGGCAAGCAGAGACAAGAGGATCCCTGGAGCTTGCTGACTAGTCAGTCTAGCCAAATCAGTGGGCTCCAGGTTTAGCAAGAGGTCCTGTCTCATAAAATAAGATAGTGACAGAGGAAACACCCAGCATCAACCTCTGTATCTACAGCCATGCACACACATACACATCCATGCAGTACACACAGCACACACACAAAAATAATATTCAATAATATTACTGCCTTCTGTTCTGTGTCATGGAAAAATAATTTATTTCAATCCTCAATTGTCTGCTACTATTCCTCAATTAATTAAGGACTTTTAATCATATATATATATGAAACCTACTCTATCATATATATATATATGAAATATTGTTGCTCATATGTATATGTATGTAGCTGACCACTTGAGATTGGATAATGATTCAGGGGATAAAGAAAGGTGTTTCTCCCTCTCCGTAGTCATTGTAAAATTTCCTCCATCTACATTAGCAAGTCAACTGGGGTTATCATTACAAAAGTCTAATTTAGGCAACCATGTTGATGTGATTTCATGGGTGTGGCTTCCTTGCCATGTCTAGAAAACCCCATCTCCCAGCAGGCAAGTTCCTCTGCCTCTTACAATCTTTCTGCTCCCTAAAAAGCAGTGTGGTGGCGCACGCCTTTAATTCCAGCACTTGGGAGGCAGAGGCAAGTGAATCTCTGTGAGTTCAAGGCCAGCCTGGTCTACATAGTGAGTTCCAGCTCCAGGCCAGCTGGGGCTACAGGGAAACCCTGTCTCAAAAAGACGAAAAAAAAAAAAGCAGACCTTAAATTTCTACTTAAGAAATAACATGAATTCCATATGCTATTGTGACAGGTTGAACAATGGTCCCCAAAGTAGTCCACATCCTAATCTGTAGGACCCATGAGGGCTACCTTACACAGCAACAATGATTGTCAATTTGATAAAGTTTTGAAAATGAGAAAGTATCTAATCTGGTTATGCCCTGCATCACATATATCCTTATCAGAGAAAAGAAGAGAGATATTTGAAGTATGACAGACACAAAGTGATATCTGTGTAGATAGGCTACTCTATGTCTGAGGATGAATGAAGGAGCCAAGGAAGCACCGAACGCTAGGGCTGCAACTCTAGAAGCTGGAATGGCAAGGGAGTGGCTTCCTTCCTAGGATCTCCAAAAAAAGACGAAAAAAAAAAAGCAGACCTTAAATTTCTACTTAAGAAATAACATGAATTCCATATGCTATTGTGACAGGTTGAACAATGGTCCCCAAAGTAGTCCACATCCTAATCTGTAGGACCCATGAGGGCTACCTTACACAGCAACAATGATTGTCAATTTGATAAAGTTTTGAAAATGAGAAAGTATCTAATCTGGTTATGCCCTGCATCACATATATCCTTATCAGAGAAAAGAAGAGAGATATTTGAAGTATGACAGACACAAAGTGATATCTGTGTAGATAGGCTACTCTATGTCTGAGGATGAATGAAGGAGCCAAGGAAGCACCGAACGCTAGGGCTGCAACTCTAGAAGCTGGAATGGCAAGGGAGTGGCTTCCTTCCTAGGATCTCCAAAAAGAAAGCAGTTTTGAGGATACCTTAACTTTATCCCAGTGAAACTGATACAAAGTTCTTGGCCTCCAGAACTATAAAACAAATATATATGCTGTTTTACACCTCTAAGGGATTAACTGTTACAACAGCCATAGAAAAGGAACACAGATTGCCAGAGCTCTCTTCATTCCTCTCTTGTTTCTAGAGTAGACATAGGTCTACCAAGCTTGAGCTACAGTTCTCATACTGGAAGAAAGACCTGTTCTTTAGGAAGGTCAGCCAAGAGTCTTGCAATTCCCTATTTGATGCTGACATCAACTCACTACCTGGGGCTAATACCTGGTATTTACAAGGAAGAAAGGGTGAGGAACTACCAAGGACAGAGTACTCTAAGTACTGTTATTAGGCTACCCAGTCTCCAAGTGCTCTCTCTTCTCCAATACTGACTTCCCTCTTTGAAGGCATTCCAGTTCAGACTCTGCCACTTTTAAGCTCTATGACTTTTCACAAGTTCCCTGAGTTTAGTTTCCATCTTTCAAAAAAAAAGAGGAAATAATTTTCTCTCCCTCAAAGGATTGTTATATAGATTAAATGATAATATAGGCAAGCTATTTTACAGAAATACACATAGTAAGGGCTCAAAATACTATTATGACAATCATTTTCACTAGTTTTAATAATCATTTAAACTTTAGCTTTATTTGCTCAATCAAGCTTTAATCAGTAATTTCAATATATTTTAACTTCTGGAGTTCATTCACTTTTGTAGGTTTTTAATATTTTTATTATATATATATTCAGAGAGAGAGAGAGAGAGAGAATGACACAATGCAAGTGTGGATGTCAGAGGACCAGAGGACAACTTGAAGAGATTGATCCTCTCTTTCTGCATGTCAGCTCCAGCTATTGAATTTAAGTTGTAAACCTTGGCAGCAAGCACCTTATCACTTTCATTAATTAAAATGTTCTAGTCTCCCAGTTTCCTTCCTCTCTATTCTCAAAGTTTTGGTGACTATTTCCATTAAAACATTTCCATGTTATATGACAACTGTTCCATATAGTTCTTCCTAGTCTGTAAACAACTTGAAAACAGGAATACTCTTTCATGTTTCTTAGAATGTTCAATTATAACCAAAGTATCTAGAAAAAAACTTGTCTTTAATAGAAATAGGTTAAATGAATGAATGCATAACCACAATGTAATGCTGAAATAGTAAATAATATAGCTTAAGAAATTAAAGATATTGGTAGTCCATATGTTAAAACTAGAAAAGTCTTGATGAATTCATTATCCTCGAAACTTATCTGCATGTGTTATTTGCAGGACAAAATGTGGGATGTTTAATAAGCGTGCAAAGTGCTCCTTGAGGTATCTAAATGGGATGTCAACTCTAAAAGGCATTATGATTTCTTGGCCAGCAGGAATAAGCACAATTTTTACTGCAGATGAAAAGAGAAAAAAAATGATCATCATCAAAAACAGTGAAGGTCAACTACACTCAACAAACAGATGCAGAATTATAGGCCCATTTTTAATCACATGGAATTCAGGTTGCTATGTTCCCTGACACAGCTTGATGACACAGAGAAGTGGTCAACATGTTTGCTTTGAAAATTAACCTTTACTTTCAATTTTTTTCAGCAATGTTTAGCAGCTGGTATATACTCATTTAGATACACGCATAGGAAACCTCTCAAAAAATGAAGTATTTTCAGGGCTAAAGAGATGGCTCAGCAGTTAAGAATACTGGCTACTCTTGAAGGAGACCCAGGTTCATTTGCCAACACTAACATTGATGGCTAACAACTGCCCATAACTACAGTTCCAGGGGATCTGATGCCCTCTTCTGGCCTCCGTGGGCATTGCACACACATGGGTGCACTTACATACATGCAAAAACAAAGCAAAACACTCATACACATAAATTAAAACTAAATAAAACCTTTAAAAAATATTGCATTCTTGTGGAATGAGTGTAGAAAAGAAAGACCTGAGGTAGAAGGAGCCTCAGAATTTTGAAATGTACTTATAACTAATTTTCATAAAAATGGCGTTCTGTGATAGGCTCCTCATTACAAATACTCTTCATAAAAATCAACATTTGAATGACTTACATATCAGTCCACAAAATAGAAAATTAAGATGCTTTCATGTTAAAAACTTTTATGAAATGATTACATGCTCCCAAATTTTAAAAGGAAATAAAGTATTTAAAATTCTATATCTATAGATTTAGATTTTGATAGAAAGTGAATAATAAATAAGATAGAGTATAGATTTCACATGGCAGGCCAAAAAATTATAAACATTTCTAAAAGCCAAACACGACAGTCTAAGGCTGAAAGACATTTATCAATAACCCCATGACAAAATTTAATGAAGAATTAAGTAACATTAAGCAGGGCATGGTGGTGAATGCCTTTAATCCCAGGACTTGGTAGGCAGAGGCAAGCAGATCTCTGTGAGATGGAGGTCAGCCTGGTCTACATAGGGAGTTCCAGGGGAGCCAGGGCTAAAGAGAGACCCTATCTCAAAAAAAAAAAAATTAGTCACGTTAAAGTTTTTTGACCTTGTTAAATATTTTTTCTCAAAGATCTATATAAACAAAAAGAACACTTTTCATGTTACAATGTTAAGATAGATATTAACTTATCATAAGACTGTCTTGTTTCCTGGGTACAAAAAGCTCTAATCAGTATATTTTTAGACTTTCATTGACTGACTTCTTAAACATATAAAGATACATTAAGGAATTCGTGAAGTTTGGGAAAAACAGGACAAAGACATGTTTTGTTTTTAAATCACCATGTATAATTGGCATATAGAAAAATATCAGGGGATCACAGGAATATCCAAAATGGCACCAAAATTCACATGAAATGACTAAACTGAGAGGTGCTCAGTTCTCTCTCATGTCTGGTTCATTTCCTTCTGGCCTTCCTCCTTTTGATGTTTACAATGCAGGAACACCATCAAGGGTGAACTGAGCTACCCCCACTACATTGAAATGCTACATTTTACCAAACTAAGTTGCTGTTATTGAGGCAGGTAGAAAGACATGGAAGATTATGGGGACATGAGTAGGAAAAGGAGTCTCATCTGTCTGGTTGAAATCGCTTGCCAGATGAGAAGCAAGAATCCCAGCATAACTGACATCTGCTTCAGGCCTTTCTCCTTGCCCAGCTATAAATCTGCAGTCCTCCAGTAATTTCACCAGAAATCCCATTTACAGAGAAAATACATGTACTAAGCCCTTTGTGCAATCCTCATGGCTCCTGGTTTTACCAAATCCAAGGCATGTCTGGATCACTTATCAAAAGAGAGACAAAAAAAAAAATGTTTCTTAGCAACCTTTTGAGTGTAAAATCAGCAGTTTCTGGGTAACCATCTTATTGCTGCCTGCCCTGTTCTGTTATCAAGAATATAAGGATGGGGATGGAGAGATGGCTCAGCGGTTAAGAACACTGGTTGTTCTTGCAGAAGACTTGGGTTTGAATCCCAGCACCCACATGGCAGCTAGCAACTGTCCCTAACTCCAGTTCCAGGGGATCCAACAGCCTCTTCTGTCTTCCACCGGCATTGCACGGCATGGGTGCACTTACCTACACACAGGCAATACATGCATACACATAAATTAAAAATAATAAAATATAGCACTTACCCACATGCAGGCAATATACACATACATATAAAATAAAAATAATAAAATATGAAAAAAGAATGTAAGAACTTGTATATGCCATCCACATTGTTCTGTGTATGCCATTAAAACTGACTTACAGTAAAAGGCAACGAGGAGTTTTCCAAAGCTGTACTGAAGGCTCATACGAGACAGACTGCAAAAACATGTAAAAGTAGTATGGGATGTGAGTAAATACAAATATGAAACTAGGGTTTGGATTCAAGTTACCATTCCGTCTATGTTCAATAATCAATTCCAACTTAAAAAGAAAACCCAAATATACTCAGAATCTGTCCACCATTTTTCAAGCTCTCTAAATACTTTTAAAAACCTACTGTATTTGAAATAAATGTGAATTTTAAATTAAACGATGCTGACATATTGAAGAGCGATACTGCAGAATAGAGACACTTTCACACATCGTGAATAAATTCAAGTGGCACAACTCAAAAAGTCTTGTGAGTATAGGAAACAGAATATTTAAAACAAATCTTCATGCACAATAAACAAGAAAAAACTACGCCTTGAAACAAAGAAATAAAACATCTGGTCTCCTCCAGCTACTACCTGTGGCCGAAGACTCTTTGACTGAAGACTGCAAAGTCTCCTTTATATTTTTAATTTTATTCAGAAATGACAGTGGGTCATCTTCTGGAATCTGGTTGCCTGACTGTGTTGAGTCCTGTTCTAGAGATTGTGAAGATTTTCCGGGGATCTTATCCCCTTCCCTTGATGGCTTGGTATCGTATGACTTTGCAGTTGAGAAGCGGCGTCCACTCTGCTCCTCCGTTGTCTCCTCACTCTCGGTGCTGTACTCCTCCTCCTCCTCCAGTTTAGACTCTAGCTCAGCAGTTACTTCTGATCCCTCCCCTTCTGAAGGGAGAGGAATGCTGATGATGTCAGCAGCAGCATCGCCCTCCACTGAGGAATCTGCTGCTTTCTGAGCTTCAACCGGTTCCTCTTCATCAGACATTTTCCTAAATTATGAAAATAGACACGTTTACTATACATACAAGAGTTTCTTCACCAAATATTCATTTATATGCTAGTATAGAGTGATGTTCATAGCATACAGGAATATTGTTGCCTATTTTTAAAGGTTTACTATCTTATTAACAGCTGGCATCAGGTTAAAGCATAGATGAATTCCTAATTTTAAAAAAATTGTATAAATGCCTGCCATAGTGGCACATGCCTTTACTCCCAGGACTCAAGAGGCAAAGGTAGGCTGTTCTCTGTGAGTTCAAGGCTAGCTTTGTCTATATAGCAAGTTTCAGGCCAGCCAGAACTACATACTGAGACCCTGCCTCAAAAAAACCAGAAAAAACAAATCATGGGAAATAAATAAAAATAACCTCAAAATGAGAATTTGGAGAGTAATATTCTGTGAGGAATTTGTGGGGGTAAATCTTGTCATCTTTATTCAGTGAATAGCGCCTCTTTAAAATAAAACTTGTCGAGTTACTTTTTTTCAAAGTGGAAAACTAATGTGGTATTTATGCTTCTGGCATTAGAAATGATTAGAAAACTCATGAAACTAACCAGCTCCACTGTAACTACATCCCGGATAAAATCCTCTGCAACTGTAGTATTTCACAAATAGGAACAAACAGAGGTTCAAATGACCTCTAAACCCCCAAATAAACATCCCATTAAACAATTACAATTTTTACAATAAAGTTACAATAGCCAAGAGCTTGGATGTGGGAAAGAGTAACAGCCAACAGCCTCGGAGTATGGACTAGTATGGGCCAGGGCATCCCAGAGTCTGACTACAAAGGAAAGAGCTGGGGCAGGCCAGGGGGAAACCAGGACAGAGGGGAGTCTACCAACAGAAGGCAGCAGCCACAGGACGGGTAGGGTAACCCAGAGACTGAAGTATTGTGGCTCTTCGGAGGGTAGATAAAACCTGGGACCAAAGTGAGGGGCAATAGCTTTAGCTGTGGCTTTCATTTTGAGGATAGACCTTATGGAGGAAAAGAAAAAATTGTGTGTGTGTGTGTGTGTGTGTGTGTGTGTGTGTGTGTCTGTGTGTGTCTGCGTGTCTGTGTGTATATCTGTGTGTCTGTGTCTGTGTGTGTATGTGTGTAAACATTCATACATGCATATTTTAAATAAAACTATATAATTGTTGAGTCAAGGAATACGTTATAAAGCTTTCCACTGGCAGAAGCTGCCTACCACAGGCCCCAGGTGTCCCTGAAAGTTCTTGCTGAGCATGACAGATGCAAGGCCAGGACCCCTGCTTACTCAGCCCATTCCTTGAGTTGTATTTGGAATAAGAGTCTGTGAAAGCTGATATAACCTCTTCTCTCAAACAGCAGGTTTTATTTGGTCTACCAAAAATGCATTAAAATTATCATGTGCAGGTAACCATAAAGTCTTCCTGTCTTAGTATTGAGTGTGTACCCCAGGGGTTGAAAGCTTAACGCTTGTGTAGAAGGTGGTAGACCTTTAAAAGATGGAACCTTGTGGGATGTCACCAGAATGCTCCTTCGGAAGGGATTAAGGTAGCTGTCCTAGAAGCCTGAGGTAGCTCTCAGAGAGAACAGTTGTAATGATAGAGCTTTTCTCTGCGCTCTGGCCTCTGTTCTGGCGTGGGTTCATCCCCTACTTTGTAGTCTCCTGGCATTACAGTGCCATCTGACATGAGGTGATGCAGCTAGAGGTGCCTTGCCAGACTGGCACTGTGCTGTTTAACTTTCAGTCTTCAGAATTATAAGTTAAATAAGCCTCTTTATGTTACTCATCCATGGGTATGTCATTATAGGAACAGAAAACAGACTGGTAAATTCACCTCTGTCACCTCTGCAAGACTTAGGGTCAGAGTGGGAGGGACTTGAAGCACAGACTACAGCAACAAACTGTGACAAGAAAAATTTATCTTGCAAATAAGTCAGAATACCGACCCTCCTCATTTCTCTCTCCCCGTCTTTCTTTCTCTTCCACATTTCTGCCCCCCCAATCTCTCACATTTTTTTTGAATGATCTGGATTAAACTCAGAGCCTTAAACATACTAGGTAAGCATTCCACCAGTGGAGCCTCATCTCCACCTCTGTCTCTTTCTCTGCTTCTAAAATGGGGTATAAAAATTTCAACATCAAGTTATTTTAAGAAATACACAAAATTGTGTATACAAAGTACTTAGCAAACAGTTCTTTGCATGCAATAAGCACTTCATAATGGTAGTCAACTACTGATAAACTATTTCTAAAATTTCCAAAATGCTAGTTGATAATTGCACATTAGTTAATGCCTCAGTGGTTATTGCATTTTTACTCAGTAGAAAATACTAAATAAAGCACGTGATTAACAGTTACAGCAAATTACTTCATTCTCATATTTATGCTAACATGTACATTTTAAAAATAAAGAAATCGGCACAAAGAGATTAAGTAATGTGTTCAGTAAGCAACAGATCTGAGATCCAAAACCAGCCAATCTATATCTATGCAGTCAACCTGCCCTGTGCTCTACTTCAGGGTAGGGATCCCTGGGACCAGTAGAAATAGGAAAGGGGTCCCAGTGGGTAAGGAAAGGACTGGGGACTGCTGATTTCCTTCTAGATGCGCATGCTGAGATTCAGAGAGAGATGCTTCATGGTATGATACAGGTAGCCAGCGCCAGACATTAAATGGTTATTTTATAATCAGAAATGGTCTTGTATTTCCCTGTAGTTTTGAGTGAGAAACATGACAATGATTTAAAACAGAGAAGGTTATCTTGATCATCTAGGATAAGTAGATGATTGTATCAGTTCCTAGCACTCCTCAAATATCTCTTGGCACACTCCACTTCCATCCATAAATATATATCAACTCTCAGTGCAGCAAGTTAAATGTAAGTGTTCAAGAACACATTACAGTGTAAGATACAAACTGATGTGATGCTCATGCCTAAACAGATGTCAACAGCATCGCAGCAACAATGTGAAAAGATTTTTTAATTAATGCTTTAAAATTATTGCTCATTATGTTGCTGTAGTTTTTAAGAAAGCAATATATACTTCCAAGAAAAATAAGACTAATAGAATGGAAAGGAATGAATAAACAGTAAGCATCCTCTTGTTGCTAATACTATAATTTATTTCTCATTGTCAGGCAGTATATTTCCAGAAATTGTCCATGGATGATGCTATAATCATAGACATATATCTTTAAATATATAGACTACATTTCTGCAGTTTAGTATAGTATAATAATTATAATAAATGCATAGTAATTTCATTGCAGAGCTAAGCCACATTATACTCTATTGTTGTCCTATTGTCATATTTCCTATCTCACATTTCTTACAAATAACACATAGTGCTGAAACAAATGAACAAATATCTATCTCTTCATGCACTTTTAAACACATTACAAAATGAATTCCTATAGCTAGGTGAATAAATCAAAAGGCATACAGATCTCAATTCCACCAAAATGTTTTAAGAGGCAGTACCACATTGCAGTCTTAAGAACACCCCTCTGACATTTCGTCACATCTTTGTATTGGAAGATTAAACATCTTCATTAAATATCCCTTTGTTGTGTGTTGCATTATGCATTTGATGGTATTGTGTTGTCTTTTACTATATACTAGGTTCCAGATTCTTCCAGACTGAAATTTATTAATCTTTTTGCTTATAAGTTTCCAAGGTTCATGTGCTTAGAAACAGCTCCTCATGATGAAGCATGAATTTGTACATGTGTACATACACATACAGAAATATGGCCAATCAGTAAATACTGATAGGAAGATGCCTAGTTTGTTTCTTCATTGCTTTGACAAAACACTTTGACCAATACCAACTCGGGGAGGAAAAGTTTTATTTAGCTTACATCTCCCAGATTACAGTTCATCAGGGAGCCCAAGGTAGGAACTCAGGGCAGGAACCTGGAGGCAGGAGCTGGAGCACAGGCCATGGAGGAACACTGCTTACTGGCTTGCTTCCCTGGCCCCTGCTCAGTCTACTTTCTTATGCAACACAGGCCCACCTGCCCAGGGGTGGACCACCCACAGTAGGCTGGGCCCGCCCACATCACTCATCAAGAAGATGCCCGTCAGACGTGGCCACAGGCCAGTTCAATAGAGGAAATTCCCCAATTGTGGCTCCCTCAACACAGGTGTGTCAAGTTGACACTAAAACTATCCAGCATAGAAGCCATTCCAGGATACACAGTATTAGCACAGAACGGTATGTGTGAAGTCAGGCACAATACACCATCCACACTCAGAACACCTCTGGAAGATGAGCAGGTGGTAGGAAGGGAAATGAGTATTTAAGAAAGGGTTTGCTGCACGTTTTTCATTGTTTGACTTGTAGACTGTTTGGGAAGAGAAAGCTGCTTCTGACACAGGGTCTCACTATGCAATCCAGGCTGGCCTTCAACTTGCCATCCTCCTGCCTCATCCCTCAAGGGCTGAGATAATAGGCATGTACTCTCAAGACTGACAACTTTCCCTCATTTTTATATATTATCTTTTCAAATAGATTTTAATCATTGTTTAAAAATAAAAAGTAGGACAAGCATGGTGGCACACACCTTTAAACCCAGCACTCGGGAGGCAGAGGCAGATGGATCTCTGTGAGATCAAGGCCAGCCTGGTCTACATAGTGAGTTCCAGGGCAGCTGAGGCTACAGGGACACTCTGTCTCAAAAAAACAAAAAACTAACTAAATAAATAATAAATAAATAAATACCAGTAGCTCTTACTAGCATATGTAAAACCTCTGCCTCTTTGATCTCTAATCCATGATTTCATTTCTTCCCATTTATTCCTGTTTTTTCTGGAATTGTAGTGTAAGAAATAAGGGAGTGATCCAGTTTTGCCTTCTATGAAATAAGCCTGCTGAAGGTTTGTTAGAAGACAAGATGATGAGAGGAAGAAAACAGCATGTCTGGTGAAGAAAGTCTGGAAGCCAGGATTCCCTGCAGACTGGAAATTCTCCACAGAAGGCCGTATCTGAAAAGCAGGCTTTCTACAGTGTTACGGTGGTAAGTAAGCACTCTTAATATGGGGTGATGTACACCTCCCAGCTTGACCCTTCTGATTCCCAATCGGAGAGGAGGATCTAGAGAATGTATCAAAAGAGGCGGGATGCTTTCAAGGCTTTTTAAACAAAGGCGCATTCCCGGTGACCAGGCAGCCCAGGAGCCCAATCAGAGCTCCGAGCAGGGTCCAGCACAGCGGAGTCACCCACACTAGGCTGGTCCTAGGCACCCAGAAGGTAGCCAGACTCGTCCTCCTACCTGTTCACGAAACGCAGCTAGTCTAGACCAAGAGGTTTCTCGGATCTTCAGAAGCAGCTCCCTACTACTTCTATGCGCTGTTGCTAGCTGTATCCTAGCAACGGTCCTGGCACAGCTTCCTCAGCCAAGGCACCACTCATGCGTGTTGCAAAGGAACCAGTGCGCAGAGGCAGAAAGCCTAGAAGCCAGAAGAGAAAACAATTACCTGGCCCCTCCCCGCCCTCTCCCTGGAACTGAGACTTGAAAGTGATTCCTTTCACTCTTTTAAAAGATAGTCTGTAATCAACTGAAACGCACAGATTTTCCTTAAAGCAGATACAAACATTGAGAGGCAAGAAAAGATAGAAAAGAGCACAGGTTTACAACCATCAATGTTGACTTGCTTTTGCAATATTTCGACCTTAGCTTTTAGAATCCTAGCAGCCAAAGAAAAAAGGGAGAGTATAGCTATTAAACACTTCACTTAATGAGTCCGAAGCAGCAGCAAAGCTTTGTTTTTTCTATTAACTTCTTTGAGGAAGTGTTAAAGTAACAATAGTTTGTTCCTAACCAAAAAGTACTGCTCAGATGTAAGACTTCAAGTCTTGGTCTCCAACACTGTAGTGCCCACCTGTAGCTAAGGGAGACAACCAGCTATTCTAAAATGATGGATACATTTGTTTTCTCCCCCCTATCTAGAAGCCTTTGAGAGGGAACTGACACTGATTCTAATCACTCCAACAGCTATCAAAGTGCCTGGAAGCAAATCCTGAATCCATCCCTCTAGGGTGTAGCCTTAGAAAACAAAAGAAAAATGAGGAGGAACCAAATAGAGATGCTTTTGGAAGCCCTTGTCAAGAAATTCTAATGCAATCTCTTATGAACATTTGAAAATTTCCCTGTTCTGACTTTTTTCTAGCTCCCTGTCTAGAACTTGTAATGCTAATTACTCTTACCTTTACGTCTCCTTCACATCTCCTATTCACAATTCAAGGACTTTTCTTTTCCCCCTAGAGATAAGAGTTATGCAATTTGGGAGTCTTTTAGATAGACCCACTGAAGGGGTTCTCCAATTGCCTCACCCTGAGACCCTGTTCAGCATGGAAGAAGCCAGAGTGGTCAGCGTCCTGGTTCCCTATTAGGAATTTGGGTAACCTCTTCAGAGGATGGTGTGATAAGAATAGGAGGTAGGAATTGGCTAGGCAGTTACGGTAAAAAGACCCCAAAGAAAAGTAGCCAGTTTTTTGGCTAAAACTCACAATGTCCTTGGGCCTCTTAGCAACATATTCCATTCCAAACGCCAAAAATGTTGAAAATATTTGGGAGCTCTTGTCTAATCCTTAAAAGATTTTAGGGCTACCTCTTCAGAGAGGGGACTGTTAGAGTAGCAAAAAAGCCCCATAAAAAAATAAATCAAAGAAGAAGAAAGAGTACATGAAGTTATCAGAAAAAGTGATGGGGAGACAAGGGAGGAATTAGAGGGGAGGGAGTGGGCATGGATTTGATCAAAACACCTTATATGCATATATGAAATTCTCAATAAATTATTTCTTTCAAGTAACAATAGTTTGGAGGAGAGATCAAGTGTGTTTCTGTCAGATTTCATGTGGCTATCTCATAACAGCTGCTGACATTGAGCATTAGTTGACACTAAGCACCATACCTGTATTTCTAATTCAGTCATTACAATGAGTCTATTGAAGGACTGCTAGTAGTGCCTTGGTAGTGTCTAGGATACTAAAACACACAAAGATTTAATGAGAAAGCCAGAATTAAATCAAGCAGTCTGACTCTTGCACCCAGTATTTTTTGTTTTGGTTTGGTTTTTTTGGGGGGGTCTTTTTTTGAGACAGGGTCTCCCTCTGGCTCCAGCTGGCCTTGAACTCAGAGAGATCCACCTGCCTCTGCCTCCGGATTGCTGGTATTAAAGGCATGTGCCACCATGCCTGACACACCCAGCTTTTAAGCCCCTATTCTATGCTAGCATCCTTTGGTATTTGGAAGAGATTAATAAAACTGAAAACCTCATTACACACAGTGCAGGTCCAGCCCTCAATCCCAGCAGTGACTCTTCATTCCTTTGCTGCCATCCACTCCCAAAGCACCAATAACTGCCTCATGGCCAATGCCATTTTTCCTTACTCATTTTTAAAAGTACATATTTATGTCTTTTTTTTAGTTTTTTAAAATTTTTTAAATTTTATGTGTATGCATGTATTGCCTGCATGTAGGTAAGTGCACCCGTGTCGTGCAATGCCCACGGAGGTCAGAAGAAGCTGTCGGATCCCCTGAGACTGGAGTTACGGACAGTTGTTAGCTGCCATGTGTGTACTGGGATTAGAACCTGGGTCCTCTGCAAGAACAACCAGTGTTCTTAACCACTGAGCCATCTCTCCAGCCCCATATTTATGTCTTGGGTTTGCTTTACTAATCTTTAAAGGAGAAGCGAATGCACTTTTCAATTTTACAACAGTCCTACTTGGTATGTAGGTTTCTTGGGTGGTTTCTGCAGCTTAGAAGTTATACAACACATCAAAATCACACACATCCTCACAAATATGTAGGTGCTTGGCTACATAAAAACAATAAGAAGACGCTATCAATTATAACAGTAAAATAGTTCCACAATATTGCCTTTTGTTTTTCTTGTCATTCTAATTCTGTGCACTTTCTTAGGTTTTCTTGTTCAAAATGGCTTATCTACCTTTGGTCCATCTCAGCATGTACAGTAAATGTGTCTTTGCTTACATTTTTACAAAGATGCCACCTAGTGGCTTTATAAAATCAATCATTTCAAAGTATTTCCTACTATTAATCCAGGTTGAAAAGTATCTTGACGAAAATGACTAAGTAGGAACAATATTAGAATAATTATTTACAATGCTAAGGATCGGGAAATTATGCTTTGGAAATTCTGTGAATTAAATTTGGATCATCTGTGAACCTGTGAATAAACAGGAAAATATAGATCCATACTCACTTTTCTGAAACTTTTGTGGTAGGTCAGATGTGTTTGATATTCAAAATTTGATTATTTTTTTTTTTATGTGAATGAGTGTTTTGCCTGCATGTAACTGAACCTTTGTCCTGCCCAAAGAGACCAGAAGAGAGCATCAGATCCCCTGGAACTGGAGTTAGGGACAGTTATTAGTTACCATATGAGTGCTGGGGACCCAAGTCCTCTGCAAGAACAGTCAGTGCTCTTAACTACTGAGCCATCTCTCCAGCCCCAATTTCTCTGATTGCTTTTAAAGGAAATGTGGCCATTTACTTTATATTAAGTGATACATCCCATGAGTATGAGAAGCAGACCAGAATTTAAAACATTAATATTTCTATGACAAAAATGTTTATTCTTATTAAAGTGGGGTAAAGACCACAGTCTTATGTCAATTTAGATCGGGTTTATTTACAAATGAGCTATGGGAAAGCTTTCTATTTTTGAAACTTGATGAAGAACTGCAAATCTGTTTACTCTGCACACACACACAAAAAAAATCCACTCTCAGAGAAAAACAGTAAAGCGTGATATTCTGTAATAAAACAGTAAATGTTTATCTTTAGGAAAGCTACATAGTCCACCTAAAAAGAAAATAAAAACATTGAGGGTCATGAAATCCCAAAAAAGTATCTTGCAATTTACAGGTAAAACCAGTTAAAAAAAAAAAAATCGCATTACTGTTACCCTAAAAATACTGCTTTGAAAATCACTGGCAATGCATGGCAAATACAAATGTGAGTTGTAGGGTACATACAAAAACTACTTTAACCTTGGTTTTATTTAGAAGTTATTTGCTATGCTCCCTTTCTTCACAAATACATTCACAGAAGAATGTGCTGATGCTACCTACTGCTAGCCTGTACCTCTTGTGGAACTCAGGAGCACTTTTTCAGCCCTCCTTTGGCATGTACTGTGAATAAAAAAATAAAAAAAATAAAAAATAAATTCACTAAGAACCTGAACAGTAGCTCAATCTATAAAACACTTGCTTTACAAGAAGGGCCTGTTTGATCCCTAGAACCCATATTTTTAAAAGATAGGGCTGGTGGCCCACGCTTATAACACCAACACAGGAGAGCCTTTCTAGACCAATGAGAGATCCCATCTGGGGCAAAAAACAAGGTGGACCACAAAGGTGGATGGTACACACACACGTACACACACACTCTGGGATTTACAAACAGATTGTGCTATCACTTCTTTTGCTACTACTTTTCTTCATTAACTAGCTTTTTTACCTCTAAAGAGATTCTGAAATGAATCTTTCTAGTCCCCATCAGTTCAACCCCTATATTGAATCTACAATTTAAGATCTCCTTGAACATTAAGTTTTTATGGAAAAAACTTGCATTTACTGAACATAGACAAAAACGTCTGATGTGTTTAGTAATCTGGTATGTTACCCCTAAGCACCAATACACACTTGCATAGGCACGTAACTTCTGTTTCTGTAACCAAGGAGGGTGGTAGTAAAAAGCTTATGGGATTACCCTACATAGATGATTTTCTTCCCTCTGGAGAGACACTCATACCTAGCCTCAGTCTTCTGTTCCTTAAGGTCAAAGTCAGGTCCTTCTAGCCTGCAAATCTGAAGGTAGAGAGAATGGCACGCTGAAGGGGCACAATGAAACCTGCCTCCTGGTGGCATCACGCCCTATTCAGTTAGACTTGTGTGGCTTTGGCAAGAAGAATGGTAACCCTGATAGCACGGCATTACTCTAGTAGGGAGCTGTATGCTGTCTGTCCAGGACAGTCATAGTGTATGCCTGTCCTTATGAAATCATCATGCTTTCATTCACTATCATTGCATTTTCATCACTATCATTGAGTACTTTTATGGTTATAGTAGATAAAAGCCATTTCATTCCAAAGGGAAGACTGCCCAGTAACTGAAATATTCTGCATAAAGTCCAGATGTGCAGAACAAGAGGGAGCTACCAATTTGGGGGTCATTTTCTTGTTTCATAGCTATTAGCTTTTTAAAAAAATATTTAATTTATGTATTGCCTGCATGTATGTATGTGCAGCAGTGTCATGCCATGCAATGCCCATAGAGGTCAGAAAAGGGGTCAGATCCTGTGGAACTGGAGTTAAGGATGGTTGTGTGCTGGAAATCAAATCTGGGTTCTCCGCAGGAGCAGCCAGTGCTCTCAACTGCTGAGTCATCTCTCCAGTCCCTAGCTTCTCCTTTGAAGCACCAAGGTATGTGAGAACTTGAATCCCTACCAGAAGCCTGTAAGAAAAAAAAAAAAAGTAAAACATTCTGAAAATTATTCATTAGTCTAGAAGCCCCTCAGCAACAATGAAAACCGAGGAATAGCAGAATCTGCAAAGTGCACGGGATTCTTAACCTGGATTTTTATGAAACACATAGGTCAATACCTGAAGAACGAAAAGAGCTGGCCCAGTGGTAATAACACTGACTGCTCCTGCAGAGGACCTGGGTTCAATTTCCATCATCCACATGGTGGCTAACCACCATTCATAATTCCAGTTCCAGGGGATCCAATGCCCTCTTCTGACCTCTGTGGGCATTGCATGACACAGGTGCACTTACACACATGCAGGCAATACACATAAAATAAAAATAAAAATTTTTAAAAATCTTTGTACATGACTTCCAGATACTACTTAAGTTCAGGTTCTTTGTCAGACATTCAAAGAAACACGATGTAGATTTGCTTGGAACAGCCCATGTGGTGCAGGCAGGAGTGACAGCATCCCAAGCACATTAACAGAGTAACACCACCTAGTTAGGAGCATGGATTCTAGAGCTGGATTGTTTAGCTCCACATTCCTTGATATGAAAGCCAAAGAAAGCATTATTAAATCATCTCTGCCTCATTTCCTCTAGCACTTCACATTTTGCAGGGCCACATTACTCAGGCTTGATTCTGGCTTCATTATCAGACCAACAGAGATAACCTACAGCATCCCACTCTTAAGGGTTGTATGATTTAGTTAAGTACCTAGAACAGTACCTGGCATTCATGTTCAAGTCTCAAAGAATATTACTAATATGTTTACATATTAAATATTATCCTATAACCAGAAATTCCTATGCAAACACCAATAGTCCCCTTTAGCAAAGCTATAATGGCACTGTCAGCAAAACATCAAAGAGAAGTTTTCTCATCTTCAAAGACTGCTTTGCCATGACACAACAAAATATCAGAGAAGAAAGAGGGGGAGAAGGAAAGAGAAAATATACTATCTAGGGAAGAAAAAATACCAAATTCAACTTATGTCCTTAGAAACAAAATGGGTGCCTAGGAAGAAGGAGTGAGGGGAAATGAAAAGCAATTTTATTTTTGTTTAGCCTTAAGCGTTCGTCCTTTGCTATCCTGCTGCACGTTAAGAGACAATGCCACTAGTGACTGCACCGAGTTAGAGCCATATGACTAGGATGTGTAGAATTTAGGCCTACCTGTATGTCAAATAACTTCAGGAACTTTCAATATTTATACTTAACAAATTCTATCTGTAACTCAGACTAGTTAGACTGACCAATAAAATTAAAAGCTAAGGGCCAGAATGTTAGCTTTCTTAAATGAGACAAACTGAAAAGCCTTTATGTCTGTATCAATATGAAATCTTTAAGTACTAAATCAATTTCTCCTACTGTAAAATGGATTTTCATTAAATATTTCAAATAAAACATGATAATTTTTTTTGAATATAAACAAAATAGATTCAAATATACCCCAATATGACACTTGTAATAGATTTCATAAATATACAATTATATATTTAAAATTTATGTATACATAAGACCACAGCCAAGGAGGTTTCACTACAAATTTTTTTGATTCTTTGAGACTTTCCTACAATGTTTTACATGTATTTTGCAATATTCAGATTCCTTTCTCTACCTCCACCCCCACCTTACTAACCACCTCCCCCAATTTCATGTCCTCCATTATTTTCTAAGGCCTATCAAACCTAATTTATGCTACAAAGTAAAATTTCATCACAAACTATTTGTTGCAACTTTTTTCTCAGCTAAATGTTATGACTTCACTTCAGTGATCAGTAACTCTGAGACAATAATAATGATAAAGTACCTTTTCTTTTTCCCAAAGTCCTATGAAGACATGCAGTAGCAAGCTAAAACACTGCTAAGGATACTTCACCTTTCCGTTATGGCCTCTCCCCTGAGGAGCTGCAGGAAACTGTTTAATTTTCAGTCTTCTCACATCTTTGGAATAATCTGAGTGAATACTGTACAAAAGAAAACCACCTCACAAGATCCTATTACCATAACCAACTGTGTCTCCTAAATATGTCAGGTATTAGCTTTCTTAATTTTAAGATGTGAATGACATAATAGAACATTTAATTATATCAGTTTCCCATCAACCCATCAAAGAGAGTTAGGGCTCATATTGGCCATTTCCACTGGTTGGCAGGAGGCTCCTCCACTAACGGCTCCCATGGTTTCCACACCAACATTTTTCTTGCCAGACTTAGTTCACGTTCAGCCTATTAAAAAAAAAAAATTCAAGATCATGCAACTGATTATTCCACAGGTATTTATCAGTTAGTAACTGAAAGCTAACTATTACAGCTACTGTTTTCATATCATGATTCCAAATTCACAACTTCTTCTGGAGGCAGAGGCAGGCAGATCTCTAGGAGATCGAGGCCAGCCTGGTCTACATAGTGAGTTCTAGGCAGCTGGACCTCCCCCACAAAAAGTTCAGTATTATCTAATTCAATTTTCGCTGCCACATAATCACAACTAAGAGAGGGTACCTTTTGATTTCTTCTATGACTGAAATCTGCTGGAATTAGTGTTCAAAATTCTGGTTTATGAATTTTTATTCATTGTGTTTCACAGTCTTTGACATACAACATCAGGTCCCTTCATCTGTATCAGTGGCTTTCAGACTTGTCACAGCCCATAGTAACAAAACCAGGGGTTCTCTCTCAGGCACAGGCTACATGTTAAGACACCACTAGATGCCCAAAACATACAAATAATGTTCAACTTTTTCATTACCTGAAGAATCACCTCTTCTACTTGGCCCCCCTGAAGCATGTCTTCTAATTTCTTAACATCTGGTTCCTATAATTTCAAGCAGAAAAGAAAAAAAAAAAAATTAAACATGGGAGTAAAATATCAGAATATTTTAATATACTATGTAAATTATACTATACCAATGTTTTAAAAAACACATAAAATTTATTTTAGCAGTTTTTTATTCATCATAGTGTTAATTTTTTTTACCAAATTTTTACTTTATTTGATGGAAATCTATTTCATTTATTTGCTGTTTCACTGCTTTTCTGTCTTAATATTAAAAATCAGTAAATAATGACACACTAAGACATGATGTTGGATTTGGTCTAAAATAGAGTTTTAAGTATTTTGTTTTTCTTAATATGCTCTATTATTTCCTGTCAGAGAACTAACAATAAAAATGAATGATATCTTATGCCTAAACTCCTCTGCTGGGTATATACCAAACAATGCACAATAAACAATGATATGTTAAGGATTTTCACAGCAGCATACAAATTACAGCCACAACCAAGAAGCAACCCAAATGACCATCTGCAATAGAATAGACAGATAAATGATGGTGCTTATAGTGGAACACTACATGGAATGATAATAGACAAGCTGCAACTATACACGACAACCCAGGGGACCCCTCAAACCTATCATTAAGAAGGAAAAAAAAATCAGACACTAAAGAGTATATAAAATTTATTCTACTTCTATAGTTTAAAAATGGGAGTCTGAAAAGATAGCTGAGCACTAGCTGCTCTTGCAGAGGACCCAGATTCGATTCCCATCACCCATATGGCAGCTAACAACTGTCCCTAACTCCAGTACAAGGGCAGTCTGATGCCCTCTTCTGACCTCAAGGGCTTAAATGTCACAGGTGCACTTATATACCTGTAGGCATTACGCTCATACACATAAAATAAAATAAAAAATTTTTAAATATTTAAAAATGGGCAAAATGAATTTGTCATGTTAAAAGATCAGCAAAGTGGTTACCATTAAGAGCTCAGTTACTCAAAGATATTTTCTGGTGATCTCAAAATGTCATTTTTTTGGTCTGGTATTTGTTATTTGTGGTCACTGTGAATGAAAATTCATCAAGCTTTATCTACACTTATGATTTCTGTACATGTTTTAAAGATTTATTATTGATTTGGGGGTCTAGAGAGACAGTTCAGCAGTTCTTACAGATGACCCAGGTTCAGTTCCCAGCACCCACACGGCAGCTAACAACCATGGGTAACTCTAGATCCAGGAGATCCTGATAGCTTCTTCTGGCCTCCATAGGCATTGCACTTATATACACATAGGCAAAATACTCATACACGACATATGTAAATAACAAAAAAATTCATTATTTTTATTTTTTATATGTGTGTTTGCCTGTATATATGTATGTGCACCACATGCATGCCTGGTGCCTACAGAGGCCAGACAGAGATGCTAGATTCCTTAGAACAGGAGTTACAGACAGCAGTGAGTCACCATGTGGGTGCTGGAAACTGAACCTGGGTTCTCTACAATAGCAACAAGTATTCTTAATCACTGAACCATTGCACCAGCCCCCTTCTGCACATTTTTAATGTACATTATTTTTTAGGTTTTTTTTTTAAGAACTGCTAATAAATATATTATGTGGAATATTTAATGACATTCACTTCTTTCCTAATAGCTGAACTTTTTGAGAGTCAAGAGCTATTCTTTATACATACATATGTATATACGTAAATAAGACAGTCGTTAGGACAGTTTTGCTTTTTTACATTTTCCACATAAATAAAGTGAAAGGAGTTACAGTAGCAACATTCTACTTTTAGTGGTCCTGGAGATCAGATACAGGCCTTCACACATGCTATTGCCACATCCTGCTGGGCTATTCCCCTAGGAACATCTGGATTTTGGAGAGGATATAGTCAAATCACAGGAAGGCCAGAAGAGGGAGTCTGGTATTGCCAAAGTATGAGGTATAACAGGAATAGAATGAATTTAAGACAACCAGAAGCTAGAGCTGGGAGGACCTTTATATACCATGCTAAAATTATTCTGCAACACTTGTTTCCTTCACGGCTCTACATCCAAATCCATCAGCTAAAGCTGAGTTTCGTATATCCAGCTCAGGAAAAATACTTAAACTCTGCCTTTCAGAAACACTGACCAGGAAACCACAGGATGATTTAACAGGAAAGTTACAGAAGATTTATATACTAAAAAACCATTCTGCTACTGGCAATGTGAGACATAGAATTAGGCACAATGAGACTACGAATTAATAGTTTGTAGGCAATTAAAATAGCAGAGAAAGGTTTCAGGTATTCATAAAGAAGTAACAGCAGTGAATTCTTTGAAAGTGTCTGTGTGAGGTTATAAAGAAATAACAGGCAAATGAAAACAGGGAGACAGTTTTTTTTCCCTTGTAAGATGGAAACCAACTAAACATATCCCGAGATTATGAAAGACAGTGCTAAAATGGAGGATTACAAGAGAACACAGGATAAATGAATACAAACCAGCAAGACCAAGGAGAGGGAAAGTAGAGACAAGCAGTGGAACAGATTTGCCTTAGGAAAGGGGGAAAATTCTTATTTAGTGATGGAAAAAAATACATTAAGTTCATATAACTCAAGTCAATCAAGCTAATTTAACTTCCCCTTTAGTGATTTTTAGCCTGTAAATTACTGCCAGACTTGCTTAGCAAAGAATAAAATTTAAAACTTATATCACACTGTTCTACATACAAGTAAGGAAGCATTCTCATTGATGTATAGTTTTACCTAGTAATAAGCATAATTTGTAATCACTTGTGCCTGTATAAAATACAGTTTATGGACACTGTGTCTGAATTATACAACATCCATGAAATAATTGCTAATGAAGATGTTTCAATAGTAAAATAGAGTGTGCTATGGCAAAAAGGAAAAAAGAAAACACCAGCAGTAGTCTGTTTTCCTGTCTAGTACCCTTGATTTAAAACTGTAAAATGCTTACTTTAGTTTACTTGGCTGCCATGACAAAATTCTATAGACTGAGTGAATTAAAAATCAGAAACTTAAGCTGGGTCAAATCTACTTACTATGGAGACAAAGGCAGGAGGTCTCCAAGATGAAGTTCAAGTCCATCCTGGGCAACTTAGTGAAACTCTACATCGAAACAGAGAGTAAGCCTGGTATGGTGGGGCCCATCTTTAATTCCAGCACTCAGGAGGCAGGCAAGAAAGACTTCTGTGGGACTGAGGCCAACCTGATCTATATAGTTCCAGACCAGGTGGTGCTACACGGAGACTCTGTCTCGATACATCAAAACCAAAAAGAAAGTGAAAGAAGTGCTTAGGATACGGCACAGTGGTAGAATGCTTGCCTCATACCACAGAAACAACAAACAGAAGAGCTTGGAGTTCTGGAGATTAGAAGGCTAAGACCAATGTGACAGCAGTTGGTATCCAGTGAGGACTTTCCCTTGAGACATAGCCACCACCTCACTGTCCTTTACTTGGCATGTGCTCATGGAGAAGGAGCAAGCACTAGCTGTCTGGTGTCTTTTTATATGAATGCTGATCCCAGGCCTAGAGAGATGGCTCAGCAGTTAAGAACATTGACTGTTCTTGCAGAAGACCCGGGTTTGAATCTTAGCATCCACATGGCAGCTAACAACTGTCCATACCTCCAGTTCTAGGGGATCCAACAGCCTCCTCTGACCTCTGTGGGCATTGCACAACATGGGTGCACTTACCTATATGCAAGCAATACATGCATTCTATAAAATAAAAATAATAAAATATTTTTAAAAAAGAATGTTGATCCCATTGGATCAAGGTCACAATCTGTGACTTCACTCAACTTTAATTATTTCCACTGAGGATCCGTTTTTTAAATAAAAGCCATATTGTAGAATACATTATGCTTCAGCATTAACACTGGTCAATGTAACTTTCAGTAGTTAAGAAAAACAAATGTGGCCCTCTTCTTTATGCAACAAAGTGAGACCGTGCCTTCCTCTGTGTGTGTGTGTGTGTGTGTGTGTGTGTGTGTGTGTGTGTGTGCGTGCGGTATTAAGGACTGAATATAAACCAGGTGTGGTGGCAAACGCCTTTAATTCCTGCACTTATAAAGCAGAGACAGGTAGATCTCTAGTGAGTTCAAGGCCAGCCAGTATTACATACTGAGACCCTGTCTCCAAAAAAGAATGGACTGAATCTAGGGTTCATGCATGCTAAGCAAGTTCTACTACTGAGCCACTCCAACCTCTTTTCTTACTTTTTATTTTGAAGGGTCACACAGAGTTGCCCAGGCTGACCTGGAGTTCATTCTGTAGTCCAAGAAAGCCTTGTATTTGTGATCCTCCTGCATCAGAACCTCCCAAGCAGCTGGGAATTATAAGCCTAACACCAGACATAACATCAATGTACTTTTTAAAATAATTCTTTTTGACAGCTTTATTTAACAATAACATATAATTATTTTGTTGTTTCTCTTTTATTCTTCTCCACTTTGATTAGAGAAAAGAGATCAAGACTGATGCATCTAAAGATGAGATGTAAAGACAAAGAAGTAGCCTGGGAAGGGGTAGAAAGCACAACTACGAGGACACCTCAAGGTGGGCTTCTTCTTCTCCTTGCCCTGCAGCAGCACTTTTCATACAGAAAGCAGTCCAACATTGCATGTTTGTCAATGATAGGGAGAAAGGATGGAAGAACATTACCAAAGGAAGGAAAATACTAGAAAGGGCATGCAGAATACGCAAAGCATAAACAACAGAAGGTTTTTTTAAAGGTTATACTGGTATATAAATTTGACAAAATCGAAATTCATTTAGCTACTTACTGCTTTAACCAGTGTCAGCTTCTCATTTGCAATCTGTTCTGTGTATTTCCTGTATGCTGCATTTTTAGGGAATTGCTGAAGAACATCAAGAATCTTTGTGTACAATATTCTTAGCCTCTGAAAAGACAAACCACACATATTTCACTAAGCTAAAATATCACCAAAGATTAGAACAGGACTATCTCATAGGAAAACTAAAAGAGGATTCACATTTTTTAAACTATATTTTCCTGAAATTTGTTCATAAAATTGAATACAAATGTGGAAACTCTTCCTGGATATGATACATACTCCAGTAAGTAGTGTGTCTATTTATCAAAGGTACAGTTAACAAGCAGAATTGAACTAGCTTATAGCTAATGACCTTCCTTGGAATCAAATCATTTATTAAATCACGATTCCTCAAACTGAGACCCTAGGTACTACAAATTCTATTTTTCTTTTCATACTTCTTCTCTAGATTTTTTTTTTAATCCAAGCATTAGATCATCAGTATGACAAAAATTAACTGAATAGTTATAATAGTGCTTTTGCTTGACTATAATTGTTTGTATGACATAGATAAATTTCACTAAGGCTCAATAAAAACAAGCAGGGGAGGCAGGTGCAGGGTGGGAGGCCTGCCCGTAACCCCAGCACTTAGGAAGCTATGGCAGGACGACCTCCGGCCTTGAGCGCCAAACCACCCAAGGCTGCATGGCAAGATCCTGTCTCAAAAACCCAAACAAGGACTAGAGAGATGGCGCTCAGCGGTTATGAGTACTGGCTGCTCTTGTAGCGGACCCAAGTTCAATTCCCAGTGCCCACATGGAGGCCAACAACCGTCCTTAACTTCAGTTCCTGGGGGATCTGACACCCTCTTCTGACCTCCACAGGTATTGCACCATGTAGTGCATTTACATACATGCAAACACTCATACATATAAAATGAAAATATTTTAAAAAACCAAAAAGCAAAAGGAAGCAAGAGAACTGAGTCACTGCACAACACATATTGAAGCATATTAAACTCAGGGTAAGTTAATGACATGGTCAAAATTGCTTTGGCAGATCCTAACTTACAATCACTCATATGTCATAAATATGAGCTACATTCGCACTACTGAAATTCATTTTTATTATAAAAACCCCAGAGAGACTGACACCTAGTCTTATTTTTACTCAGGTATACACATACATATACAAACCAACGTGCATGATCTCTAAGAACTGTTTATCTCCTAAAAGCTAAATATATAGCCATTATTTTTATCTATTTAATGTTCATAATGAAGAATATTTTATTCTATACATCCATATCAAGTACTTCTCATCAGAAGTGCTTTAGACCAGAAGTGTTCCAAATTTTAGGTTTTTTTGGATTTTGAAATATTGTATATACATAATGAGGCATCTTAAGAATAGATCCACAAGTCAAAATACAAAATTCATCTGTTTCACACATACCTCATACTCATATCAAGAAGCCTATGCTTTGATTATGGCCCATCGCAGGAAGTCAGATGTGGAATTTTCAGCTTGTGGCATCATGTGAGCATAAAAAGGCACTTCAGATTTTGATAAATTTCAGATTTTTAAATTAAGAATATTCAAGCTCTACTAATATAAATCTTGCCAGATAACACATGAGAATTTTCATGGGTTTTTAAAGCTTATTTCCTCCCAATTTTAGCAACAGAACAGTTGTAGCCAAGAGATTTGGGTTGAAATTATTTATTACCTATTCTGCAACCATTCTTGTGGAAATACACTTTGCAGAGCCTCTATGGGCCATATGTACAGTTTACTTCACACTGCGTTTACATTATGGCCCATAACAAACACCAACTCATCACAATTATCATTAGTGTTCGCTGAAGTTAGAACACATAGGCAAGTGTAATTACAGATAATCCTAATTCCCTAAAACATCCTCTAATCATACTTTGCTACATTCTATTCTAGACATTTGTATGGGTCCTAGTTTCATTCTATTGCTGTGATATAATTTCCAGGTCATATCACAGAGGAAAGTCAGAGCAGGAACAGTTGATTGGGCCCTCCTGTATCAATAAATAATCAAGACAATTTCCCACAGATTACCCAAAAGTCAATCTGATCTAGAAAATTCCTCAACCATGGCTTTCCTCTCAGATGACTGTAGGCTGTGTCGAGGTGACAAAAGTCACTAGGACAACTGTGTATGTAGTATGCATGCAGACGAAAGTAGACTCCAATTTACTAAAGCAGCAAATGGTGGAGTAAGAAAATGCAAAGGATCAAATATCATTTCAAATTTTTTGAACCAAGGTAAAAAGAAAAAAAAAGAAGCTGTCATTCAACTCACTGACATGAACAAACCTAAGAGAACAGACTCTAGGGAGAAATGGGGAATCTTGGATATGCTAAGTGTGGGTTACCTGTCTGACATACAAGTCAGCAAAAAAACACATACAGCTACAAAAGGAGAGGTCAGTTCTTGATATGGTAATGTAAGAATTAACAAGTGGTATTTGCAATCATTAGACTACCTCCACACAAGAGAGCAAACATAATTTTTTCCAAACCTAAATTTTTTTAAAGTCTAGAAACTAAGTCTTAGTATACCTCAGAATATAAAACTGGAGAATGAAGAACTCTGAAAAAGGCGAAGGATTAGGAGGAAAAACAAACAGCACCAAAACTGAGACGCCCTGACAGTAAACAAAGTACTTAATGCAGAGTATTCAAAATGTCAAAACTGCTGCTATTCTTGGGCCTCGTAGATGGTTAAATGAATAAAGGTACCTGCTGCCAACCCTGGGGGCCTGAGATCAATCCCTAGGACCTATGTGATAGGAGAGAATTCGCTCCAGAAGTTGTCTTCTGATCTACAGGCACAAATAAATGTAACAAAAATGTATTTAACACTACTTTTGGTACAATTAAAAAAATGTGAACTGGCTAGATTTTGGGACTTTCGGTGTCCTTGAAAAAAAAAAAAAACCAGTTCTGGCCAGGCCTGACTGGAGATCCTTGGTATACAGGGAGGGTAAGAAACAGTGTGGTTACTGAAGGGAAAGAACAGGGAAAAAAGGAAGGCCGTTGCTAGGCTCATGCCTTAGGTAAGCCAGTCTGGAATCCAAGGCAGAAATGTTGCGGTGAGGAAAAGGATGGTAAAAGAAATACAGATCTGGATGGTGTTGTGCAACTGAAGCCACGGCAACGCCAAGAGAAAAAGGCCATGAAGAAAATTGGTTAATAAAGAGGTCACGGCAGAGACGACAAAAAGGTGATGGTGAAGGGAAGCAGGTGCCGCCCGTGACAAGAGGGGGCGGGGCGGGAGGTGGTAGTGCTCCGAGGCTTGTCACGTCGCTGTCCCGGGAAGCTTTCAGGGACCAAGGTCGCAGGCTCGGGTCTTCTCGGGAGCCCAGGAGCGAAGGCTTGGAAGTGCCTACCTCGTGTGGAGTGTCGCACACCGCCAATCCCACCAGGCCCGTGGTCTGTTCAGAAACAAAACACGACAGTGCTGCTGACCGTGCTTCCCACGCCGACCGCGCGCAGCCCGCCACTCCCCGCGCTGCCACGGCCCAGGCCCGCCGCAGCCTCCCACCAGCCCGACAGCACCGCCTCCACCCCGAGGGCTTCGCGCCTCCGCCCACGGGCGAGGGAGAAGCGACTGCCGAGTCCCCGTCCACGGCCCCACGGTGACCTCCACCCGCTCACCTTCTTCAGCACGCCCGCCATGACAGCGCCGAGGAGTCCGGGCCGCGCGGCCCTCTGGGAGCCTCAAGCAGGCCTGCTCAATCGAACATCGACGCCGCCGCAGTGTCACCTAGAAACGACTTGGCTCCACCCCCTGAGGGGCGAAGGCTCAGTCCCTCCCACCCGGAAGAGAAAACTGGCGCGTGCGTAGTCAAGGGTTCAAGGGTGTAGGCTTGGCGGCCACGGGGGGGGGGTCGGGG